AGAGAAACTCTCAATACTGCAGGGAGTTGGGGGCAGGCTGGAGGAGAATCTCCAGACCCACTAACCATTCCTCTTCCCTGGATAAGACAGAGCAGTTCTGGTTCTATCTGATATATACATTAAATTTTAAGGTAAATTCTTATTTGAAATAAGAATTCTGCTGCAAAACAAATCTTTTAAGCAACTGTGTTAGAGAAAATAGTCAACCTTTAAAGTGATAGACTTGCAAACCTAATTATAAAATAAATGTCATAGGGTAAATTAGCGTATGTGTGGAAAGAAGCTGGTGAATATTCTATTTTTAAACTGTTCAAAATCTTTCATCAAGTTTCTACATTGAACGAAATTTTGCAACGTGACTTCGAAATGAAGGTTGCTTGTGACCAGAGACTTGATTTAAATTCGGGAAACTAGCGACCGGTAAGTTTCAACTGATGCTTCAAAGCGACAGTTTTGCATTTCCTACTTCCATAGCACTCAATGGTTCATTTTTCCATCCCCAACCCTCTGACTCTCTAGGTCTGTGAGTACATTTTCAGCCTCGGTCTATTATTCCTTTTTAGATTTGGAGCAAAGAAAGATGACTTTAGACTAGTTCTTGTGATCTCATCATACCACATTCTTTCCTAGTCAACTGTTCAGTTTCCACTGTCCTTTTTTCACATCTCCATATTCAAGTAGACCCCATATTGATCTTTCTGAGCATCTCCATTTCGCATCCCTTTGTCTCCATTTTTATGTCTCCAACTCAATTTGTTTTCAATTTATGCCCAGTATATTTTCTGAATTGTCTCTGACTTCTCCCCTCCAACTGTCTCAATCTAATTCATCTTTCCAGGCTTATTTTTACACAACACATGTTTCTATACCTCTTTGTACAAAAACACTGGTACTCCTCACCGCCTATAAAATAATGTCTAAACATCTGTCCAGTTTTCAGCATCTTCAGCCTCCTGACTCAAACTTGACCGTCTACCTCACCTTCTCAGGATCCTCCACCCAGTCGACTGGGTTATTTTATTTATTTATTTATTTTTTGGAGAAGTGGCGTCAAACCCATGAATACACATTGCTCTCTTTCTGTGGTTTCATTTGCACCGTGCATTTAAAGAGAAAAGATACTATTCACATTCGATTTTCTCCATTATTTTGGAGCTGACTTACACAGATGTACTTTTTAAAAAGAAAAAATTCTCAGAAAAAGCATACTAAGAACGCCACAGGAAAGGAACACACAGGGAGGAAAGAAGTTAATACATTCACCATTTAAGCTCTTTGTAGCTTTATATTTTATTATTATTATTTTAAATAAATGACTCCTTAGAAAGGGATAAAATACCTTTTTCAGAGCAGCTAATAAAAAACTATGCAGTCTTGATTATGCCAGAATGGAAAACTGTTGCAAGCAGCTATTATTTTCTCATAAAATCATCATAATGCCAAATACTTCAAAGTTTACAAGTCCATAAAGACTGGTCTTTTTCACAGTGCCTTTAACAGAGACCAAACTGGAATTGCATCTGTTTTCCTGAAGTAAAAAAATCTTATCCAGAATAAGATCCCTCATGGTCTAGAATGAAAATATCTTCAAAATAAGAACATTTCTATCCATGTGACATTCATGATCCCCAGGTACATCATAAATATTAAATAATTGCAATACCTTTATTAAAGTTAATCTTAGGAAATTAAGATTGTGTTATGTTTTGGTAACAATCTCCAAAGGGGTTGTCTTGTGCTGGATTACCCAGAAGTGTGGGTTCATAAATAACTGGCTTATTCCTATGGTGCTCCCACGAGGAGCTGATAAGGGAGTGGGGGGTACCAGGATGAGGAAGGGAGGGAACGAAGGAGGGGTGCAATTTCAGAGAAAATTCTTTCGAGGGTAACTTCAACCTTATCTCACAGGTTCCCGGAACATGAGTTACACTTTAGGGTTTTCCCCAACCCACTGTCATGGCACAGGACTTTCATAGTCCTGGACCCTCAGTTAACATCCAGGTTGGGCTGGGGTTTTTGGTGATGGACATGACTCCCCTATACTACTTGTTCCCTATTGCTGCAGGCAGAGTATGCGCAGTAACCCAAGGGAAGTCATCAGGAGAAGAGACATAAATGTGTTGGAGACAAAAAAAAAAATACATCAAGAAAAGGGGGATGTAGGTGAAGGGGCCTGAGGGGATGTGGATAGAGCATGATAGTGGCCAATATACTTCTGACATCTTAGAACCAGAAAATTTCTGTTCAACACGGTATTGATCATTCGGTCATGAAGGACAGTGTGAACACAGGCATGCTGCTTACCTTCTTTGTCTCAGCTTCTTCATCAAATAAATAAAAGTACCTAACTCAGGATTCTTATAAATATCACCCAAGGTAACACACAAAAGCATTTCATCAGTGCGTATAACATCAGAATAATTATTCATTTTCATTTTTAACTCCTGTTTATTTAGTATTTTCATTGTATATATTCAGGCAGTGGGAGTCTCTTAGTACCATTCTAAATTTATGCCTGATTTAGATCGTATGCATAAAATAAGAATAATTCTGGGTTGATATGAAGAATATATTTCCAGGAACAACTGAGGAGATTGCTAAACTGCATAAGAAAATGAAGGGAAATAGAAGTTTGGTCAGACATAGAAGAAACACAAATATAACTCATTTTGACACCATTGTAGAAAAAATTAGAGTTTGAAGTTTGGATACCATCTGAATCTATCATTTTTACATCATTTTAAACTTTAAAGTCATGTATATGTCAAGAAGATTCAGATCATTTGTAGGAATAGTTATGGGGAAAAAAGCAACAGTTTGTGGAAAGAAATAGTAACAGAAAATGCAGTATATTCAAAATTGCTAAAAAATAAAAGGCATCATGGAAACATTTAGTAATGAGGAAATATCCAGTTAAGCCATATAAAACCACCAATTCTTGGATTTTTTTACCCACTAAAACATCAATTTCATATGATTTAATCTAATACATAAAATCTTTTGGGAGATAGTCCTCTATGGGCCTCCTTTGCTCCTAATCTGACAGCTATGTCGAGATACAAAGCTCTGACCATTCTTTTACCTGGGACATTTCTTCAAGTTGTGTTTATAGCACGAAAGCAACCTTGACTGATGAGAAAATGTCCCCTTCCAGGATAAAGATCAGGTGGGCTTACTGCTTGCTATAGAAGTGGTGCAGTCTTCCGGCTCAGTGTTTCTCTCCTGCAATAAAACTCATAGCACTTGCAGGTATCATCTGGGCTGTTCACACCACCTCCTAAGAATGTGGGAAAAAGGGGAACCAACGTCAATAAACAGACGCTCATATTGCTTACTCTACTGTGAGTCATAATGTCCTTTATCCCTAATTGTGTCTTCTGACATCCATGAAACAGTAACATGCTAACATCTTAGCTTTAAGGTGGGTAAAATCAAAATCAACAAGCAACTATAAACCAGAGACACATTATGGCGTGGGGGAGAAGGGAGTAGGATTAAAACAAGGGGGGTGGGAATTGTATGGGGACTATAATGAAGATGAAAATGCATACGTTGTGCAAAAATGAAAAATGATGTAAAAAATGTATAAAATAAAAAAAATCAAATTCAGATCCAACAAAGCCACAACACAGAATACTCTCAAGGTTTCATTAATTGTATCAGTTGTGAAATTTTCTCAAACTGTTGCCATTTAAGACCATGATGTTGAAAACTTCCTTAAGAAAGACCAGGGTTGTCATTCATTCCCATTTATGTTTTCTTTCTTGGGATCCTTTCACAGGAAGTAAAACAGAAGACATTAACCCATGTCACAGCCTTCAGGCTCCACAGGTCTCAGAGCCAAGTGAAGCCACCCAAGAAAGCTATGACTGTATCTCAGACTCTTGGAAGAATCCATGTGAAAGGGTTCAGGCAAGCTGATAGCTTCCATTATTGCATCTGTTCTCTTCCCACTTTATTTGGTCATGGCCTCAATCTTTAATCGTGAATTAAGTTTTGTAGCTCAGAGCTCCTGTAGTGGTCATAGATTCAAACTGCTAAGACAGTCTTAGAAAATAAGGCCTAGACTACACTGAAATTGATAACCTGAACCCCATGGCACAGTCTCCTGCTTTCTTCTTGAATATATGACTTTGGTAGTTACAGACTTTTTTCCCCCTCCTAGACTGACCATGAATGAAACCCAACCATTTGCTCCTGACAGTGCCACAATTGTGGACTTGGCATTTTTATGTAAATAGCTGTTGTCTGATTCATTAAACCCCTTGCCCCTGACATTTTCCTTTCTGACCCTTCTCAGCCACACACTGGCAAAACATGAAGACATCAAGAGGACAAAGAGAGGCAATAAAAGGGTTACAATCAGGACGTGTATTGTGACTGTGACCAACAAGGGAATTTGGAAATGGGTGACTGAACACCCAAGGATGCCCTGTCAACCAGTCACAGCAACAACATTTGTTCAAAGTCTGACAAATGTTCAGCACCATTTCAAGGTGTCACGTAGAAATACATAGGAAATGACAATCATGGATGCTACCTTAATAGCACTTAGAGTTTAATAGACAATCCAGCATAATTAAATGCCTGCATTCCAGTGTGTCCCTTGCTTACCTCTCAGATTACTCTTTATTTCTCTCATAATGCCTGTCACAAGCTGCAGTATGTAGTTTATTTATTTTTGCTCTTGATTATTATGGCTCCCCCAGAGCTGAGTAGGCAACAGTACGTCCATTTCACTTGTTCCCACACCACCAAACTCAAATTCACTATTGTAACCCTAGAACCTAGCAAAATGTTGTTAGTACATCCTCCAAAAACAAGTTTTCGAATAAGTAAATCAAGGACTAAGTAAATAAATACAACCAGCAACAGATATCTAGAGAATAGATCATTTTATTTTCTGTATGTTCCTACTAAGTCAGCTGCACAAAATTAAGTGGGGACCTGGCTCAAAATTACAAGCAAATTTTTCAAAGAATTTAGATGAAAAAGAATCTCTAGACCCCCAGGGTAATTGCTCTGAAACTGACCACAAATGTGTAAGTGACTAGAGCCAAGATTAGCAGAACTTCCTCGCTGGCCTAGAGATTCTTGAGCCACCAAAATTTAGAGTGGCTTGATTTGTATCACGATTGTGGCTATAACAGATGTTACACTCTTTTAAAGTAATAAACATTAATGACCAGCAAAAAAATTAAAATGCAAATTAATTAAAATAGAAAGATTTTTTTGATTTGAATTATGTGACTTCCTCTAGAGCCTCAAACACCTTCCCTGTGATCACTGACACATCACTGGGGCTAAGCAGGCCTGGCCAGGATGCACTTAGAAAAGAGAAATGAAGGCCATTAGCAGGCTCAGCACCACAGTGGTGGATGTCACCTTTGCAGCACTGTTTGAGGGCCAGTACTTCTCGTGTACGTCGCCCAAGATCGAAAGCACGGCCTCCATGGCCTCCTCACAGGTGGGTTGAATCTGATCCTCTGGCAAAAGAAACCCATATGTTCCATTGTCTCTCAGCTCAAAAGTGTATGAGAAGGGGATCCCAATGTCCCGAGCCCAGTCTTTTGAAGTCCCTGATGTGTCATCTGCAATAAAATGAAAATAGGGAAACAGAGTTTGAAATTGTTCTATGAACGGACTAATTTCTATAACCTATTTGGGGAATAAAGGTTCAATCTTGCAAAATAAACTCTTTCATATTAGTGTCTTATGGATAATCATCTTCTCCCTCTCCTTGACATTAAGCCCCTTAATGCAGGGTAGGAATTACATCTTGTTCAACCTCCACTCTATGCCCCCGCGACCCACAAGATGCCTGACATCATGCCTGGCACATAGCAGAGATGTGGTCAGAGTTCCTCAGCTGAATCAAAGACAACCTAACATTCCCAGGCAAGAGTGGGCTGACATATAAAGGAACAGAAAGAAAATGACCAACAGAAAAGATATTATGCAAATAGTATCTGGGTGGCCTTCTGGTGGGTGCAGGGGAGAAAGCAAGACATTCTCCTTTCAACTAAATTATTATTATTTTTCAGATCCTTTCTCCAGGTCCCTCCTACTTTGTTTTCTTAGCTTGCTGGGTCCTCCATGAGCTGAATCAACTGACCTAGAGTCACTGGAAAGATCCTTCCTGCGAACCCCTGTGCCTTCTTACTTGCCAGTTGTATTCAACTGAAACCCAAAGGAATTCTGATCTGAGATGTTGTATTAGTTTTTTTTTTTTTTTTCAGCTCACACTTTATCCCTGGAGAGCATCATTTTGGATTTGTACAGACTCCCTTTTATCTTTGGTCATTTTTATTTGTACAATTTCCTGCAGATCCACAGAGCCCTTCTGTCCCTCTCCTTCCTGTGCTACTCCCCAAAGTCCACTGACTTCTTTTGTGCCTTAGATACTATTGAAGAGGCGAAAAAAGATACTTACATAAAATGTCTGCACTTGATCCAACTCTATAATTGGTTCCATGTTTTGCTTTCAATGCATTTGCTGCCTTCTGTCCAACTTGGATCTGTAGGTGGGAAATGCAGAGACAGATATCTGGTGTTAAAAATAAATCCAACAATCCAGAGGGTATGGTATTTAGTCCAAATCTATCTCCACAATTTCAGACCATCTTTCTAACGTCCCACTGGACATCTATACCTAACTAGTCTGCTGGTACTTCAGATTCAACATACCCAAACCCAATTTTATCACCTCTCCCTCTAATTAGGGTGCTCTAACTTTTATTTTTGTATTTCTGGTCTATCATGCTCCCCCAAACACATGTAAGATCCTGCAGTCAGCTTTGATTTTCCTTCTCTCAAAAATTACCAAGTTGCATTTCCAGGACCATCACCCAATTTCAGGCTCATTACCTCTGAAATGCACCTCTAATATGTTTCCCTTCCCCTCGCCTATCCGTATCTCAATTGATCCCACCTGATGTCCAGCTGGACTTCTATAGAGTAAAAGTTTGATCATGATTTTGCTAAAAAGTCTTCAATAACTCTCAGTTGCCCAATGAATCAAGTACAAACTTTTCAGCTTAGTATTGGATCCTCTATGCAACGATTCCAACCCACCTTTCCAACATCTTATTCTCTACATTCTACCCCAGTTTATAGTCAGATTCCAGCTCTCCCACTCTTGCAAGACATGCCCCATGTTTCTAGGCTGCTCTCCTTTTAATCATCCTATTTCCTTTACCTGGGAGGACTTATCTCTTACCTCTGCCCATAGAGGTTCTATCCAACCTCAGAAGACTTTCTTAATTGCAAAGTTCCTCATGAGCCCTACCTGATCACCCCTGATCTGTCTCCACTTTGAATCTCCCATAGCCCCTTGTTCATATTTCTCTTATTACTCCCCTCTTATTTTTCCTCATAGGTATCTGATAGTTATTGCTCATAGACTTTCAGAACTGGAAGCTACACCCTTCTTTATGCCCACCACCATGCCACCACATTACCACGGAAATCCCTCAGAGCTGACTCCTAAGGTATCAGCCTTGCCTTCTTCCGTCCCTTTCCTGAGGTCAGAATCACTGAGCTCCAAGTGTACTGGCAGTGTTGACTGACTTTCTGATAAATCTCCTTCCATACCTTTTAGACTGTCTCTCCAAATATTCTCCATGCCACACTCCTTAATGCTATATTCTTTCTACCTGGTGGCCTATCCTACTACTTCTGATCACCTTCTACACAAACCCCACCAAAATTCTCTGGCCACTCTCTCCCTGGTCTGCGATACGCTACTGTTTTACCTCTAGGGAAACTTGACTGCTGGTGTATCAGCTCCCCTGGCTTCTAACACGTGACATGTCTAGTTGTAGATCCTGTCTGTCCCTTCTTGTATACTCAAAATGACTCTAAGATATGACAAAGTGATGCTTGGGTAGAGTAGGGACTGACACAGTGAAATTCAGAAGGAAGAGTGGGCTCTTATGTAGCTGTTGTGGACAGCAACCTCAGGGTCCTCAGGTCTTCTGGGTGTGGCTAAGAAAAAACATTAGATTGAACATGTTTGCCTGGGCCTCCCTGCTGGCGCAAGGAAGACGCAATCTATTCAGCTAGCCTCAGCCACTGCAGCACGAGTTCGATCCCTGGCCAGGGAGCTACCCACAGAGTGCAGCAGACCTCTCCTGACTCACCCGCTGCTACCCTCAGCAGTGTATTTCAGTCAATCCTATTCTTTTCCCCACCCTGTCTCTGGTGAATCCTCTCACCCCTGGCACCTCTGGCCTGTACCATAAAGAAAATCTTTAAATAAGCAAACAAACAAACCAACCAACATGTTTGCCAGCTTTGTGCCTCTTCTCCACTCTAAACTGGGAATTCCATCTTTGGTTATTACCTCCTCATTCTTTTCCTGAGAAGAGATTCTGAGTCTGACTTAGTTCCTGGACTTGTGCTGTCCAGAATTGGGATAAAGGAAACTGCTTTACTCCTTTACCTCAGAAAGCGTTACAAGAGCTGTTTATAAGAAGAAGAGGAAACTATATTTCTTTTTTTTTTTTAATTTTTTTTTAAAGAGGCACGTATTGTATTTATTTATTTGTTTGTTTGTTTGTTTGTTTATACATGCACTGGGTACAGTCAGAAGCCCAGGAGGGTGAGAGAATTCACCAGGGCCAGAGCGGGGAGCAGAGCAGGCAGAAGGACCGAAGTACACTGCTGAGGGGAGCAGCAGGCGGCAGGAGGGGTCTGCGCGCCATGTGGGACCCTCCTCCAGTGGCTGGGGAGCAGCTGGGGATCAAACCTGCGCCGCAGAGGCCGCGGGCAGCTTCGCAACCCAGCGCTCAACCGCTGTGCCACCGGGGAGGCCCAAGAAGAGGAAACTATAAGGAGTAAAGTCAGAAAGGGAATTTCGTACATTCTTTGGGTAAATAACTAGGAGTGGAATTGTTGAACGATATGGCAGATTTTTAATACTTGAGAAACTTTGAAGAGATTTATGTACTCCTGTGATCACTGCAGCACAACTTATAATAGCCAAGTTATGGAAACAACCTAAGTGTTCAATGACAGATGATGGGACAAAGAAGATGTGGGATACATATGTGTGTGAGTAGTGTGTGTGTGTACAATAGAATACTATCTGCGATAAAAAGAGATTAAACCTTGCCACTTACCATCGATGGAGTTGGAGGGGGCATCCTAACTAAAATAAGTCAGAAGGAGAAAGATAAATATATGATGATTTCACTCATGTGGAATTTAAAGATAGAAAACAAAGACAAAACTAAATCACACAAGCTCTAGAAACCTGAGTGTAGAACTGAGCCTATTGGAGGTGGAGGCTACTCAAGGTGGTGGTGGGGAGCAGCGCAATGGACTAGGAGGAGGAACACGGGTGCTTGTGGGTTGGCGGTGGCGTGGCCGCATGCATCTGAAAAGGTGTGAGCCTGTGCCTGAGTCATACACGGGGTTGTACGCCAATGCTACCTCAGAAAACAAATGATAGAATCTTCTTTTTTTTTTTTTTTTTTTTGGCGGGACCCTCACTGGTGGCCAGGGATCAAACTGGTGCTGCAGAGGCTGCGGGCAGCCTCGCAGCCCAGCGCTCAACTGCTGCGCCACCAGGGGAGGCCCCACACATGATAGAATCTTAAAGTTTTTTATAGGAGAAAAGGGGGGGGTTAATGGAGAGAGAAATTCCAATAAGGAAATAAGAATGACAGGTGGAAAGAAAGGTCTCAAGATAGCTGCTTTGTGACTAAACTGAAAAGCATGAGACCTGGGAGTGTTAGGATTTACCGATCATACTCCTTTTAGATGTTCTTTGAGTCTCTAGGAAAGGAATGGGATGAATCTAATTATTTTTCGTTCCCATGTTTCTTTTTGAAGATAACTCCAGACTAACTGGCCCATGTGGGACCCTGCGGGTCTGTTTGGGTTATGTGGGTTATCCTGGCCACATTTCCCATCCAAAGGGTTCCTTGCATTTGTTATCTCACCTTAGACAACTATTTCTTCTTCCAGTTGCCAGTCTTATTCATTCTATATGGTTCCCTCTCCTCAAATCCTGCCAGTGGGATGGGAACAGTCTTTCCACTTGCCCCTTTTTATTGACAAAGGAACTTTTAAAAAAACAATCCCACCAGCAACTACAATGGGGGAGTAAATAATAGTAAGAGATGTAACACACATGAGAGCTACACAGGTGTGATCCTGTTATAGAGTTGGTCTTTTTCTGCAAAGATGAAACAGAAATCTGAGGGCTGTGACCTCTCTAGGGAATTATTCTTCTATCCCTCTTGCTATACTGCAGAGCTAAAGGCAACCAGTGTGTCTTCCCTTCTTTCAGCCCAAAGACACTATCTAGTCAAAACAATAAAAATCTTTTGCTAGTAGTACATCATTTACATTGTTGAAAACCTCATGCCTGCTTAGTAACTCCTTCCCTGAGCCCTGAGGGTTTCCTATGGGCATATATTCACAAGGAGGAACACGGAGGCAGACAAAGACCCCCGTATTTGTGTGTGAGGGCAGAGCTTGGAAGGGAACACAGGGTTTGATATGTGAATCAAGCTACTTAAAAATGGAATTGTTCTATTGCATTTATTGACATGTACCCATTGGCAACTATTGTTAGATTAGTTTGGGCAATGTAGTATAGGTAGAAACCACTAGGGATGGCTGAGAAGAGAGGAAAGGAAATTATAGAATATAAACTCAAGAGTTTGACAGTGAAAGGGAAGATGTGAATATGAAAAGGAAAATGTGAGGGCCTCCCCGGTGGCGCAGTGGTTGAGCGCTGGGTTGCGAAGCTGCCCGCAGCCTGTGCGGCGCCAGTTCGATTCCCCGGCTGCCACCCGGCCACCGGAGGAGGGTCCCACATGGCGCGCAGACCTCTCCTGCCGCCCGCTGCTCCCCTCAGCAGTGTACTTCGGTCCTTCTGCCTGCTCTGCTCCCCGCTCTGGCTCTGGTGAATTCTCTCACCCTCCCGGGCTTCTGACTGTACCCAGTGCATGTATAAACAAAACAAACAAACAAACAAATAAATAAATAAAAACATGCCTCTATTAAAAAAAATAATAATAAAAAAAAAGAAAAGGAAAATGTGAAAAGGAGTCAGATATGAGAGTGTTATTAGTCAAGCTTTTTGAAAGTAAGTAATAAAAACTTAGCTCAGGATATAAAGGAGAAAATTTCTAACAAGGATGCAAGAGTCAAAGAATTCCAGGGCAGGCAGGCAACACAGTTTGCCAGAATCCAACTTGCTAACTTTTTAGTTTATAAGATTTGCTTGTTGGACTAGTTTTAGTTGACCATATTTTATTGTGATCATGTGAATTTTTTGTGGGGATGTTTATTTTGTGTCTACCCTAACTCTTGCAAAGTTGGAAGACTGAGGTGCAAATAAAAAACACATATATATAAGACAGTGTAATCACAAGAATGAATGTAATTTTTGTGCATATATTCTTATGAATCCATTTTATAAATATTATAATGAAGAATATATTCTGTTCTGTGAATGTCTCTTATTGATAATAATATATACTAAGACAATTCATATCCAAAATTAGGTTATTAATATAGCATTCTTAGGTCCTTCAAAAAATGTGAAAAATGTAAGCATCTAAAAATTAGAATTCTTGAAGCTATTGTAATTTGCAGAGCAATTTAGAAAGGGACTATATATAGTTATGTTTCCTCTACATAGTGATTGCCAAGTTGTCTATTATGAAGTATAATATTTATCATGGTTTTTACAAACTTCTGGTTTTGTAAATATATAGAGATTAACTACTAATCTCTGGTGGTTGTAAATAGTACCAGAAATGGAAATCTCCTTGAACATTTGGCTTGATTCTGTGTCTTTGTGCTCTCTGTCAAAACTTTTCCCTATGAATCTAAAATCACTTGAGTCAGCATCAATCAGGGTAAAACATGGTGGGACGACTTTTATGCTGTCTTTTTATTGAAAAGTCTTGAAGATGACTGTTTATGCACCTGAGACTTGATTAAAAGGAAAGCAACCTTTCCCAATGCAATGTCTCAATTTCTGTTTTTTGTACCACAGTATTACCAGTAATTCCCATCATAGAGTTCCCTTCCAGTTGGGGGGATGCTGTTGCCCACATCCCTTCTGCCTCCTTCTCCCTTCAGCCCAGGAGCTCTAACTTGAAAGCTAATCTGCAGACAGAACTCTCTCACTTTTGAATACAAACCTTTCAAAATGGTTATGTGATATCTGTTTTCCAGAACCAAAAAGGGAATGAAGTTCCCTAAAAAAATACAGAGGTACACCAATTTCCTTTTTTTCTGCTGGAGGAAGACCTCTCTCATCAGAGATCGATGATGGCCTGTTTTTGGTGGTTCATTTGTATTTGTCACAGATTCCTTTAAGCAGAAAGTAGACACTGATGACAAATATCACAGGAACTGGGAAATAAGGAGGGGTTTGGCCTTCTCAACTGAAATCTGTTTCTGCAGATTTCTTTACCAAAGAAATGGAACTGCTAGGGCTCAGAAATTGAGGAGGAAATAAGATATCGTAGCATGGGTATCTAAGCTGGTAACAGCTTCCAGAAATTGTACACTTTTTCTGAGTGGAGAGAGGCAGTATGAGTGGTCGGCTGAAGGTAGCCTCTGGGATCTGAAAACAGCTCCAGCCTCCACTCAACCATTCACTGTCTATAATCACTCTGGGAATACAGCTACATCAAGGTCTCAACTTCCACATCTCCAGAGTGAATTGATTATATGAGAGTCAAGTGATAATGGCTGTAAAATTTCCTCATAACTTGTAACATTTTAGGCAAATTTAGTTATTTCCACAGTTTGCAATATAATCACATAGCACAAAAGCCCAGGAACAATTGCAAGAAAAATTTTGGGGTGCTACTGGATATTTCTGACTGCTGGGGTAAGGGAAATCCTGTCCTTAACAAGTATCTATAGTGGTTTCGTTTCAGTGTGCTGACCTGTGTTTTATGGGTCACATCCTAGTGGGGGGCAGGATAGGAAGTGTAACAGAACCAATGGGTTACAAAACAAGGCTTCTGTGACCTTAAGAGAGAGGTTCACCCACACCCATGCCAGCCTTTCCTGGGAACTTGTTTTTAAAAACAAAAGAAGAGCCTCCCCTGGTGGCGCAGCTGTTGATCGCTAGGCTGTGCAGCTGCCCGCAGCCTCTGTAGCGCAGGTTTGATCCCCTGTCGCCAGGCGAGGGTCCCACATGGCTCCCAGACCTCTCCTGCCGTGCCCGCTGCTCCCCTCAGCAGTGTATTTCATCACTCTGCCTGTTCTGTTCCCTGCTCTGGCTCTGGTGAATTCTCTCACCCTCTCGCGCTTCTGACTGTACCCAGTGCTTGTATAAATAAATAAATAAATCTTAAAAGAAAACAAAACAAAACATTTAAAAAAAAAGCAAAAGAAAAAATTAAATAGAAAATAACAAGTACTGGTGAGAATATAAAATGGTGTAACATCGAAGAGAAATAGTCTGGTGGTTTCTCAAAAATGAAAATTAAATTACCCTACTTTTGTACATACCCCCAAAACTAAAAGTGGAATTTCAGAGATGTTTGTACACCCTTGTTCATAGCATAATCCATAGAGAGATTATGGGTAAAGAAATATGGTACATGCACAAGGAACATTATTCAACCCTACAGAAGGCTGACACGTGACACCATGTGGATGAACCTTGAAGATGTTATGCTACAGAATTAAGTCAGACACTGTATGATTTCACTATCATAAGGTATCTATAGTCAAATCAGAGACAAAGAAAAAGGTATGGCAGTTGCCAGGGGCAAGGAAGACAGAAAATTGTTGTTCAATGGAGATAAAGCTTCAATTATGTAAGATGAAAAATTTTTGGATATTGGTTGTGATGTTATTCAATTATGATATGTCACATCATAAATAATGTTAATGTATACTTAACACTACTGATCTACCCACTTAAAATGGTTAAGATAGTAAATTTTATGCTATGTGTATATACCACAATTATAAACTGAAAAAGTGATGTAAAAAATAAAAAGATAACAAACATAACCATTCTAAATTCACCCTCACTTTGATTTGCATCTATTTGTCCTTAGGTTCACAAAAGTACCAAGAACTGGGTCCTTCTAGGTAAGTCTGTCCACCAGTGCTTGGGTAAACACAGCTTCAGAGAGGGTTCCAGAAATACAAAGTACGTTTCCACTGGCCTGACTTGGATTTCACTGGCATTTCCCCTTGCAAATATTCCTAGGCAAATACTAGAGGCAGAGTTTAGAAGAAAATAAAGCATTGTGTTTAGCAGAGAGGAGAGCAGATATTATTTAGCCATGTTATTTTAGATATGCCATATTCCAGTAACAGCTGGCAAGTTCTCTAAAGCATGGTTCAAAAGCTATAATTGCTGAATGGAGTTTCAAGAGAATTTACAGAAATGAAAGCGCATTGCTGCAGATTATTAACATAATCATCTCATTTATATTATAGACGAATACCTAAGATGTCTCCCAATTTGACACTTTACGAAACAGGTAGTTAATTAATGTAGGTAAAGCAGCATTTAACCTGAAGACTTCCCAGCAGGCATCTGGCAAGAGTGTAAAAAGCAGGAGAAAGAAAATAAGGAAGAGCAGAAAGAACAAAAGCGGGCTGCAGTCAAATTCTTGGAAACAGAAATCAGAGAAAGGAAGACCAGGGTCCTCCCAAGGCTCCTCTAAGGCTTTGGAACTTTGGTCTTACCAGTTCTTCATGGTTGCTTGATTTATTTTTGGTGTATCCATAAGGTGTGAGAATGAGCTGCCCACTACAATGTATGGTCAGGAAGCACAGAATGTTCTCCTTCTTGCTGTCTATTAAGCTGGAAACAGCCTTAGTCTCTGGTTCCGACACTGGTCCTGTCCCACAGAACTTTAAATCATTGCAGTCTTTAGATGACCCGACAGCTGGAATATAGAGGAAACAGCAGTCATCCTCCCTCAGGGCATCTGTGGGTGGAATCAGGACTTGCCCTTGTTTATTCTAGTTAGTTAGTCCTGGTAAGTCAGTTCACTTGGATGTTCATTCAAGGAAGAACTCAGAAAGACAGGAAGGTCAATGATCAGATTTAGAAACAAATTCCATGTTTACAGGATGGGGAGCAAGAAGCAAAATGAAATGGCATTTTCAGCAACTGTTACTTGAACTCATGGACCCTGAAACAAATGGTTGGGAACCAGTCCATGAGTCCAGGGGACAGGCCCTGGCCTAAGTCTCTTTCTCACTGTCTCATTGACTTGAAATTCACTACAGCTATTTTGCAAGAAAAATAACAAAACCCCCACTGTCCTTCTCACCAATAAGAATAAGGTTTATCAACTGAGCTGAGTGTCCATGCTGAGCTCTGTGTTCAGACCTCCCGTGTGGTCTCTCATCACCACAACCATCTACTGCTCTGATGGTATCACTACTGGCCTCGTGCTAAATCAGAGAACACTAAGGCAGAGAGATGAAGCAACTACAAAGATAGATGAATTACATGATTAAGAAGGTCATTTGCAAAAGGTGTATCTCAACTAATTGATATCTTTCATTGCTTTTTTTGTTCCATTTTTCTTGTGTTGTCAATTCATCTACAACCATGTACTTACTACACCAGTGTACATCAAAATTTCGATTGAGATCTGTCCCAAAACATGTGCCATTATTATGGGATGAACGGGATTTCCTCCAATGCCGATCCTGTAAGAGAGAAACACGGGGTGCTGCCTTTCTCAGGTCTCATAAATCAAGTGTTATGATAATGGGTGGTCCTGGAACGTGAAGAATGGCCCTGAGGATTGTCTGGAATACCGTGCCTTTACCATTGTGAGGCTTGTGCATATAGTTTTCAGTCTCACAAATGGGCTAGCAACCTTTAATAACAGGAACATCTATACAACCAAAAGCATACATACATGTAAACCATCAAATTAGAGGGAGTAGTTGGCCTTTTCCTCAGGAACAGATTATCAGTACCTGGTGGATGTGACCTGCTTAATCAAGGAAAACTTCGGAGAGTTATATTTTATGTTTGAATGACACAAGATGAAAGGGAAATAGCTTGGCAGATGGATAAAAGCTGTTGTGGGTGTATCAGAGATGGTCTCTGCACTCTGGAAGCAGAAGACCGATGAGTGGAGAAGGGGTAAAAGAAAACTTTTGCCCAGCAAGGTCAGAGAGAAGGACTTGACTCACAGACCAGACCAGAAGAGATTGTTTCAGAGAAAGTGGTCCAACAAAAGGTGCAATAGGGGAGTGGGAGAAATGAACACTTTCTAGAAACAGGGACTCATTTGTGGAGTGATATGCTTTTAGAAACATTTTAAAGACGAGGTGTTTTTTTACTACATAGAAAGTTATGTACAGTGTCTGCACCATCTATGAGTCATCACAATGTAAACTGAAGGTTCATGCATCATTTGTACCCCTCAGGCTTCTTGAACTGACTTGAGGTGTACAGAATGGTATGTGAATTTTATCACAGTATAATCGTGTTCAGTGGCAGTCCATCCTCAAACTTGAAGAAGGAAGAGTTGGAAAAAAGCTAAGTCTAGTTGAAAATATAGAAAACTGGAAAGAAATCAAAACAACAATAACAACAAAAAACTAAAGTACGTGCAAAACTTCAACTCTATGGTCTTTGACCTCCTCCATCCTGAACTTGGCTTAGATTGTTGGATTAAATATTTTGATTTTTATCCCAAACAAGTTTTTTCTTCACATGGTTTAATACTGATGACTGAGATCAGAAAAATGAACCTGAGTCAAGATCTATTGATAGCTTAAGAATTCACTGCAAGGATACAAAATCAACACGCAAAAGTCAGTTGCCTTCCTATACACAAACAATAAATCTGAAGAAGAAATCAAAAAAACCATCCCTTTTATTATTGAAACAAAAAAAATCAAATATTTGGGAATAAATCTAACAAAAGAGGTAAAGGACCTATATAAAGAAAACTATAAAACACTGTTAAAAGAAATAGAAGAAGACACAAAGAAATGGAAAGACATCCCCTGCTCATGGATTGGAAGAATAAACATTATTAAAATGGCCATCCTACCAAAAGCAATCTACAGATTCAATGCTATTCCAATCAAAATTTCAATGTCATTCTTCAAAGAAATAGAACAATTATTGATGAAATTCATATGGAATCACAAAAAACCCCGAATAGCCAAAGCTCTCCTGAAAAAAAAAGAAGGGAATGGAGGCATCACACTCCCAGACTTCAAACTCTACTACAAAGCCATAATAATCAAAACTGCATGGTATTGGAACAAGAACAGACACACAGACCAATGGAATCGAATAGAAAATCCAGAAATAAACCCACAGATTTATGGTCAACTAATCTTTGACAAAGGAGCAAAAACTATGCATTGGAACAAAGAAAGTTTGTTCAATAAATGGTGCTGGGAAAACTGGGTCGCTACATGCAAAAGAATGAAGCTTGACCACTACCTCACACCATACACAAAAATCAACTCAAAATGGATTAAAGAACTAGACATAAGACCTGAAACCATAAAATATATAGAAGGAAATATAGGCGAAACACTACGTGATTTGCACATCAAAGACATCTTTACAGACACATCACCCAAAGCAGTGATAGTGAAGGCAAAGATAAACAGCTGGGACTACATCAAATTAAAGAGCTTCTGTACAGCAAAAGAGACAATAACAAAAACAAAGAGAAACCCCACCAACTGGGAGAACATTTTTGCACACAACACTAATGATAAAGGACTGATCACAAAAATCTGCAAAGAGCTGATGAGACTCAACAACAACAAAGAAAATAATCCAGTCAAAAAATGGGCAGAAGAGCTAAAAAGAAACTTCTCTGAAGAGGAAATGCAAATGGCCAACAGACATGAAAAAATGTTCAACATCACTTGTAATCAGGGAAATGCAAATCAAAACTACCATGAGATACCATCTTACACCAGTGAGAATGGCACATATTAAAAAAACTAACAACAGCAAGTGTTGGCGAGGGTGTGGAGAAAAAGGAACTCTTCTGCACTGTTGGTGGGAGTGCAAACTGGTCCAACCACTATGGAGAGCTGTGTGGAGATTTCTGGACCTACTAAACATAGAGCTTCCATATGATCCAGCAATTCCACTCCTAGGTATTTACCCAAAGGACACAGAAACATCAATTCCAAAGAATACCTGCACGCCTATGTTTATAGCAGCACTATTTACAATAGCTAAGCTTTGGAAACAGCCCAAATGCCCAAAAATAGATGACTGGATTAAGAAGATGTGGTACATATATACCATGGAATATTACTCAGCATTCAAAAAAGATAAACACATGCAATTTGCAGCAACATGGATGGCGCTGGAAGGGATCATGCTCAGCGAAATAAGCCAAAAAGAAAAAGAAAAATACCGGATGGTCTCACTCATAGCAGGAATCTAGAAAACTTAAATAAGGGACCAGAAAAATGAATAACTATAAGAAAGCGAAAATCAAAATCAACAAAAAACTATGAACCAGAGACACTTTTGGGGGGTAAGGGGTGGGAGGGGAGGGATTGGGGTCAGAATGGGGGGGTTGCAATTGTATGGGGAATATAAAAATAAAATTTATTATTTAAAAAAAAAAAAAAAGAATTCACTGCAAGACCAAACCTGATGGACTCACCGTTGTCCAAGTGTAGATATAACCATCGACGTTAAGAACTGGAAGGACATAGAGGTCTAGGTTTCTAAGGAGATTTCTTATCTTTGAGTTGTCTTTATAATTTTGTAGAATCTAAAAATTTAAGAGAGAAATGTTTGTGATGGTCCTGGGAAAAGGGCTGTTTTTAATCTTCTATTTCAACTTAATTCTAAGAGATGACTGTGTCACCCTTCCACCCTTCAACTTTCCAACTTTAAGTTGCAACCCACCTCAGATGTCTTATTTGCTATGGAAGAAGTACTCAAATTTCAGCATGTATCAGAATTACCTGGGGTGCTGTTAAAAAACAGATTGGCCAGAATTTTCCCCTATTTCCACTCTCTCTCCCCACTAGATCAGAGGCGATGAGGTGGAGCCCAAGAATTTGTTTGCAGTTATACTAATGTTGTCAATCTGAGAATCATACTTTAATCGCTGCTCTTTGTAGCTTCCTTATGTTCGGGTTACTACAAAGACTGACAGAAAAAAGTACCTGATATGACTTTTAAAGGTTTTTGAATTAAGCTCACCGTGCTAGGTGTTTTCCATGTTAAACCTCTTGACCCACACAATTGACTCCTGCATTAGTCATTTCACATTTCTTTTACAAGTGAAAAACTAGAAGTCCTCATGTTAAAAAATTTGGCTATGATAACTAGAAAGAGGCAGGACCAGGATCCAAATTCATCTCTGATATCCAAGATGAATTTTCTTCTACATTTAAATATGTTTACCTTCCAATAAAAATGATCTTGGATGCATTAGAAAAATATCAAAATATTTAACTTTTTGCTCAAGTCATTTATTTACCCATTTCTCTTGGAGCCAAGGAGTAGCTCAGGAGAAAGTTGCATTGCTAACACATGAAAGAAGCACTCTTCCTAAATAGCGAAGACATGACATATATTTTGTGGGGGTGTTAACCATTATTAGGAAGTTAAAGACACTTACTTCTTTTACAAACCATTGGCAAAAAGCTGGGGCAATCCATTCTCTGGCATGAATTCCACAGTCCATCCAAATGATCTTCTTGGGGTCATTGGACGGCTGACTGATCTGGAAAGGACATACATGCTCCATTAACAAATGACCACTTGTTTTCATAAGCCACTGTGCAAAGCTACCAAGTTTTGGAAATTCCCCTAAAGGCGTCTTCCTTCTGTCACTGATTTTGAGTGAGGCAAGGGTGCTGGTAGAGATACCCAGCAACATGACTTTCCTTGACTACTCTTACCCCCCTGATGGTTGCCTAGGCTGCTGTTCTCAAGTCTACATGCTGATTCCGCACCATCCATGCAAAGCCTGATCTTCCCTATCCCTAAATTATTCCCTACTGTAAATAAAAAGCAGAAAAGCCCAAGCTACAAACAAGGAGACTTTCTACAAACTTGATGAAACCTTTATCACGACTGTTCACTGAATGGTAAAGGGCACAAGAGGGATTTGAGAATTGTTATATTCAAGAATCATAGGTAGGAAACATGAATCCAAGCCTTCACTTAAATTTCTGGGATCTATGATGCTATCCAAATACAATAATCTGCAATACTTATTAAATATTTAAATTCCCCTATCTTTAGAGACTCTTCCACTCCCAGTCAACTCAATCTTTTTCCTCTCTTCCCATTTGTCATTCTTGTACATCCGTTCAGCCCCTCTCCAGCAAAAAAAGATCCCCTTGTCTTGATTCAGAGGGGTGAGGTAGCTAGGAATTAACCACAGGTGGATTCTCTTTGGTGGAGGAGAAACTGTGAGCACACCCTTGTTTGTAATAGTCACATCTGGTTTAAATTTGTAAATGGCCTGGACTCCAGTTACTCATTGGAAGCCACTGGGAGCAGGGTTGATGACTTTTATCTCTGAGGAACTTAAAAATTGAGGTAAATACAGGTCAGGACATTTTTCATTTTTGCCTCACCCACTTGCAAAGCTGCCAGCATAACCTCTCATCTACCTTTTGCTTTCATTTTTATAAGTACATCTTTTATGAGTTAAAACATTACTTTTATGAGTTAAACATTAGTTTTATGAGTTAAAAAGTTAGTTTTATGAGTTAGTTTTATGTTTATTATATTGTTTACTTATTATAAATTCTATTCTTTAAAATCTGGCCTGGACAGAGGATGTGTCAGTGTCTTTTCAGCTGAATCAGCTCAGAGTTTATTGCTCTATGGAAAACCATATAAGTAGGTGAATTCTATTCTAGATTCAATACATTTTTTATAGTTGTAGATAACTCTCAAGTCTGGAGCTATTCCTTGTCAATACAGATGTCTATAGGAAGTGGTAAAAGGGCAGTGAGCTGAGTAATGCAAGTAAGACTCATTTCGAAGCCCAGTTGCTTCGGCAGTGTTCATGGCAGAGCGGCTCCTGGCCAGTGGTGCCTGTATCCCCTGCATCACCTGGCACTTGTTAGACATGCATGGAGGCTCTAAAACTTAAATGTACTTCCAAATCTCCTGGAGGAGGTCTTGTTAAAACACACATAACTGAGCCCTACCCTGGAGTTTCTGACTCAGTAGATCTGCAGTACAACCCAAGAATATGTGTTTTCTTTTTCTTTTTTTAAAGATTTATTTATATATGCATAAAAGAACTGGGGTATAGGCCAGAGGTGTGGGAGGTGAGAGGATTCACCAGAGACAGAGTGAAACAGAACCAGCAGATTGACTGAAGTACACTGCTGAGGGGAGCAGCAGGCGAGTCAGGAGAGGTCTGCTGCACCCATGTGGGTTGTTCTCTGACTGGCCGGGGATCGAACTTGTGCTGAAGTGGCTGCAAATAGCTTGATAGCTCTGTCTTTAACCCCTGCGCCACCAGAGAGCTCCCTGCTTCACATGCATTTCTAACCCAAGTATTCAGGTGATGCAGATGCTGCTGGTACAGAGACCACATTCGAAAACCACTGCCTTGGTGCAGTGGTTGTCCATCCTAGCTACACACTGGAGCTTCCAAAGCATGCCCAGTCCCTTCTGGAACAATTAGGTCAGAATTCTTGTCGGTGGGAACCAGGCATCAGTAATTCTTGAAGCACATAGGTGATTTTAATGTGCAACCAGTATTGAAAATCACTGGTCTAGAACCAAGGGCTCCAAAGGACTGGCACTGGGGAAAGTGGCCATTCATGTCATATGAAAAAGGAGAACCTGGAGGACCTGGAGACCAGGTTCTCTCCTGGCTATGTTGCTGTGTGAACTTGCCCAAGTCTTTGTTTCCTCAACTGTAAAATGAAGGGAAACAAAGCTGAAGATTATTATTTCCAAAAATGTTTTTTGAAAAAGAACAAATTTAGGGCCACCCTGGTCACACAAGGGGTTAAGACACAACCTATGAAGCTCTCGGCAGCCACTGCAGCATGAGTTCAATCCCTAGCCAGGGAGCTACCCACATGGTACAGCAGACCTCTCCTGTCTCGCCCACTGCTCCCCTCAGCAGGGTATTTCAGTCAGTCTGCCTGATCTGTTCCCCACTCTGTCTCTGGTGAATCCTCTCACCCCCTACACCTCTGGCCTGTATCCCAGTTCTTGTATGCATAAATAAATAAATCTTTAAAAAATAAATAAATAAATAAAAAGGACAATTTTTGAAAAGCCCAAAATACACATGAAAGTGAACTGAGTCCAGTTGATGCATGAGTGGGAGAGTTTCCCTCATGCTGCCCTTTCTTTCCCAGCTTGGTGGGAGCATGTGAGGCCCAAGAACTTCAGACTGAAAACCACTCACCTAGAAAGTGCAAGGTCCTGACCAGCCACCACCCACGATGCTAAGGCCCCCAGCCTGAGTTGGGACAAGGGAGCCCCAGCATGAAGAAAGTTAAGGAATAAGCTGTTCTACTTCTGGGCCATACTCTTTTTAAGTCCTAGGCCCTTGGTCTTACCCAACCATTCCTAATTCTCTTTACTCCAGAAGTGGATTCCATCCAGATTATTAAGGTGTAAAAGCCTTCACAAATTTTGCATTTTAAAAGGCTATTTTGGGGTGCAAAAGGGAAAGCCTTCCTGCACTGCTTCTTTTAAGCTTGTCCACTTTTCTGAACAAGAGCCCCTAAGCAGTGAATAAAACCTGTGGGTGGGCCAGGAGCACTCCTTGCTGAATAGGATCATACTCAGCCTTCTCACTCACCTTAAAATAATACATGGGCCGCATCTCATAAGTCATCCCAAGGTAATGCTGAGTTACCACGTCCTTGTACTTCTCAGCTATCTGGCTCATCCACTGATAGATCTGTAACAACCAGAGAGGACAATAAGAAGATTGTTGCTTGCCTCTAATTAAGATAATTGCGTCTTCTTATGATACTGCACTCTGGACTCTCCTCTATAGATATGGCAATAACTCTATGTGAAATGAACTCGGAGTTGAAACCAATAAATTATTATTGTCCTTCTCCCATTTTCTTTAAAGATCTACTTTGCCACCAAGTCCCTGTTGAACTTCGCAGATCAAACTCTTACTGATATTTAACAATTTTACAAAAACAGATCTTTCAAACGGTCACTGGACTTCCATGTGGGCCCCAATCAAGTCAGAATTTTCAGGATTATTTTGCAGAATCTTCTTAAGTCTTGGATACCAAAAATACCCTTTGCTAATGTCCATGATTACAGATTAAAGAGCTGGATGTGCCCTTCATAGAACATGCCAACATGCCCTCAGAAGTTTCTAAGTTAAACACAAGTTAATCATTTTGATTAAACTGAGCAGACCTAAGTAGATGCTGATTTACTTACAATTCTTACACTGTGCAAGCCAATAAGATGGAGTTATATAAGAGTGAATGGAATAAGAGAATTCACAAACATGGCATATTAAGATAATTATTGGGATGTAACTGGATAATTTCCACACTCAATTCTTTCTTGTGTCAATTCTTTCTTGCACTCTTTGAAGATTTTTTGGGAAATATTAAGATATTCCTGAATACTTTGAGAACAAATGATTCAAGTCTGTCTGGAGGGTAATGTGTATCTATATACCAAATGTAGATATGCATATTCTTTAACCCAGCAATTCCATTTTTAAAATTTATACTCAAAAAAGGTTTTGCATAATGTCACACACACATACACACCCCACATATATGCATATATAGTAGTTAATTTTTTTTTTTTACTGTGTCTAGTTTTAGAAACCACCAAATTTATTTTGGTGAAAATACAAATATTTCTTCGAAAAAAGGTTTCTCTCTTAAAAACCATTGCCTGTGTTCCTGACATCCTATGGAAAATGCCATATTTTCAACTCTATCTGCTTCAAAAAGGCTTCTTCCTTCTCTGTCCTGAGCCCAGACATACATGGACTCTGCCCTGCTTAAACCAACCAAGGGTTTGAATAAGAGTCAGCTTTAATTTTGTTCATGTTCACAAGAGCAAAATAGGTTAGAATGTACTTTTCCCCTTTTTTGTCATTAATTTATCTTTTTATTAGATATCACAGGATTTGTAGTATGAATGACGTGAAAGTTGAGTCTATCAAACTCAGTGCACCGGCAAATCTCAACCTCTTGTTTTGAACCCCTCCAGTCTGTGGGTATCACCAGCGAACCACCTGTCCATCCTGAAGCACCAGTGACTGCCAGGGCCTCCCACCCCGTGCCCTGCTCACCTCCCCCATGGGGTGGTATCTGTTATACTGATAGGTCTCCAGGCTCCATGGACTCGCTGTCTCCGCAACCTCTGGTCCAGGTTGTGCTAGGGATCTGAAAAGGAAGACAGTCAGGCAGAAAGTAGTGACGCAACCAAGATATCATGAGAGTTGGAAAATTGATGGGAAAAGTAGGATTTGGAGGAAGAAAGCCAGCTCTGAAGTCCTGGCTCTGGGATTCAGTAGTCATAAGACCCTGGAAAACCCCTGAGTGTCTGCCCTGCAGCTTCTTCATGGGCCATGAGGACAGTCAGACCAGTCTTGCAAGGAGAATTGTAGGATATTGTAAGGATCAGCCTGGGAGATGTTGGAGATGCAAATGCTTTTAAATTTGTAAAGGAAATAACTGCTAAGATTTATTGAATTGAAATGAATTATGAGACATTCACTGGTTTAGGCAATTTAAATCTCATTTACTTCTCTTCAAAACTCTGATCTAGGTATCACCATTTTATAACAGGTAAAGATAATAAGTATCTTATTATCCCCATTTCAGAGATGAAGCTATTAAGTCATAGAGAAAGTGTTACTGGGATTTAAAGCCTGGCAGTCTGACTGAAGAACCTGCATTATTACCCATTGAACTGTATATAAAAAAGCTCATCTTTAGTAATGGTTTATATTTTTTAAAATAAAACTTATTTAGACGAGTTTTAGGTTCAAAGCAAAATTAGACAAAAAGTACAGAGTTCTCATATAATCCCATATTCATCCCCTCCCCCCCCAACAACCTCTTCCACTATCAACATTCCACACCATCATTACAATCACTTCACCCATACTGACATATCATTATTTCCCATGCCCACAGCTGCATTAAGGGTCACTTGGTGTTATTTATCTATGATTATGGACAAATGTAGTATCATATGGAACAGTACCACTGCCCTAAAAATCCTCTGGTATCTGCCTATTCATCCCTCCCTCCCCCACGTACCCTGGCAAACACTGTTGTTGTTTTTTTTAATCTCAATTATTTTATCTTTTCAAGAATGTCATGTGGCTAGAATTACACACTAGTTAGCCTATTCAGTTTGGTTTCTTTCACTTATACTTCCTCCACATCTTTACATGGCATAATAGTGCATTTCCTATTAATGTCATATACTGTCCTGTTGTCTAGAAGCAGTTTATTTGTCCATTTACCTTCTAAAGGATATCTTGGGTGTTTCCAAGCATGATTAAAACTGCTATGAACATTTACATGCAGGGACTTGCATGGACTTAAGTATTCAATTCATTTGGGCAAATACCAAGAAGTATGATTGCTAGTTCCTATGGTAAGAGTGTATCAGATTTATGATACCATTTTGCATCCCCACCAGTAATGTATGACAGTTTCTGTTGCTCCACATCCTTGTCAGCATTTGGTGTTGTCAGTGTTCTGGATTTTTGCCATTCTTATAGGTATCTCATTGGTTTAATTTGCAATTTCTTAATGACAAGATGTTGAACATCTTTCACACGCTAACTTGCCACCAATATATCTTCTTTGGTAAAGTGTCTATTTAGATCTTTTATTCATTCCTAGATCAACTAGTTTCTTTTCTTAATGTTGAGTTTTAAGGACTCTTTGTATATTTTGCATAACAGACCTTTATCAGATTCCTTTCACAAATGTTTTATCCCAGTTTGTAGTTTGTCTTCCCATTGTCTAAACACTGTATTTTTTAGTTGGTTTTTAATTTTAATGAAGTTCAAGTGGTCAGTTATTTCTTTCATGGAATGTGCTTTTGGTGTTGCATTTAAAAAGTCATCAGCATAGTCAGAGTCATCTAAGTTTCCTCATCTATTATTTCCTGGGGAGAGGCTATAGTTTTGCATTTTACATTTAGGTTTATAATCCATTTTGAGTTAAGACTGTAAGGTCAGTATCTGGATTCACATTTTTTGTGTGTTGATATCTGGTTGTTTCATCACCATTTGTTGAAAGTAGTATTTTGCTAGTTGTATTGTCTTTCTTATATTCAAAGATCAATTGATTATATGTATGGGTCTATTTCCATACACTGTGTTCTAGTCTATTAATCTGTCTTTTTTTTTTTCACCAATATCACACTATGTAATCAAGTAGTTTTATAGTAAGTCTTGAGGTTGAATAGCATCAGTTCTCTGACTTTGTCCTCCTGTAGTATTATGTTGGTTATTCTGTACCTTTTGCTCCTCCATATAAAATTTAGAAATAGTTTATCAATATCCACAAAATAACTTGCTAGAATTTTGATTGGGATTGTGTTGAATTATAGGTCAAATTTGTGTCTTCTTATCCATGAATATGGACAATCTCTTCATTTACTTTGTTCTTATTTGACTTATGTCATTAGAGTTTTGTTGTTTCCTCATATAGATCTTATACATATGTATAAGCATTTCATTTTTGGGGGCAATGGTATAAGTGATAATGTGGTTATAATTTTAAATCCCACATGTTTATTACTATTATAGACAAGTGATTGACTTTTGCACATTAGCCTAGTATGTTCAACTTTGCTATAATTGCTTATTTTTTGGTTTGCATTATTGTCATTTCTTTCAAATTTTCTGTATAAATGAGCATGTCATCAGTGAACAAAATCAGTTTAATTTTTTCCTTCCCAATCTGTTTGCCTTTCATTTCCAATACCTTTCCTATGGTACTAGCTAGGACTTCAAAAGCAGTGGTGAAAGTGAACGTCCTTACCTTGTTAACGATCTTAGCAGAAAAGCTTTTAATTTCTCACCAGTAACTAAGGTTTTAGTTGTAGTTTCCTACAGTTTTTCTTTATGAAGTTGAGGAAATGCCCCTCTATTCCTAATTTACTAAATGTGCATAGAATTTTGTAAAAAGCTTTTTCTATATCAATGATCATGTGTTTTTTTTTTCCATTTTAAGCCTAATGATGTGATTGATTACATTAATTGATTATTGACTGTGAATCCCGCCTTGCATACCTTGGGTATATATCAATTGGTTATATGGTATATAATTCTTTTTATACATAGTTGGATTCAATTGCTAATAGTTGCTTGTGAGTTTTTACATGTATGTTCTTGATATATATTGCTCTTTTTATATAATGTCTTTGGTTTTGGTATTGGGTTAATACTGTCTTCATAGATGAGTTAGAAAGTATTCCCTCTGCTTCTATATTCTGGAAAATAATGGGCATAATTTTTTCCTTAAATGTTTGGAAGAAATTACCAGTGAGTCCTTCTGGACCTGGTATATTTGGTTCTGAAAGATTATTAATTATAGATTAAATTTTTAATAGATATGGCCCTATTCAGATTGTCTGTGGTTTATCTTAACAAATGGTTTAATTAAACTATTCAGTGCCTCTTCTATGCCAAATTCTGTAACACATTCATGTATTTTATATAATTTACTCTCCTTAGAACTCTGTGAAGTATTATCAGCCATGTTGTACAAATAAGGTAACTAAGGCCAAGAAAATTTAAGTAACTTGCAAATAGTTTTAGTACTAGTAAGTCATACAGCCAGTATTCTGTCTCTAAGCCATACACAGGCTTAATGTTTTTTAGGAAATGGGGTTATATTTTCTTTATGAGAGCATGCTAACTGATAATTCATTGACCCAACAAATACAATATGGAGCAATTTCCATGTTAATCACACTAGGATGTGAGATTTGGCCTGGATAAGTAAGCTTTTGGCTTGTGATGCTACATTGCATGGCAGTGCATAACAGATCTAATAAGCAAACGTTTCAATAACTTTTATCTATTTTCCCACAACTTTTCCCTTGACATTTATGGCATAATATCTTTTCTTTCCCTGAGTCTTCATTTCCTTATCTGTAAGTGGGAATAATACTTAATTCGTGCTTAATATGGAATACAATTTCTGACACCTAATCAATGCTTAATGTTAACACACAGTAATAGCGCAAAACAAAGCAAAGAGGAAACACTATTTAGCTGCAAAGATATTAAAAATAATAAAAATTGTATGAAGAATAATTTAACCATCTAACTGGTATGTCTTCAGACAGTACCAAACTACAAAATATTTTGATAGTTAATTAAAATTCAAGTTCCATTCATATACATAACTCTATTAACTGGATTGAAGAAATTTTAATTATTTAACCTGGTTCATTCAGTAACATGGACCTCAATCATAACTGTAATGGAAACGATTTTCTCTGCAAAAATTCCAGGACTTTAAACAGATACATTTATTCTTTTTTATTATTATTAATGGCAATAATTTGAACTTAATTTGAACTTAACAGAACTTAATAGAAACTCTTTGACCTCACAATTGTAAATGTTTTTAGATTGTTGAATAAATTTTACCTTAATGGCTTTTGCAAGTGAAAATCTCATGAGACTGGATTGTCTAAATAATTAGTTAAAACAATAAAATTAATTTTAGAAGATTAGAGAAAGCAAATGTTATTAAAATTGCAATCATTGAAGAGCAATATGTTTCTCCATGCTATTCAGGGATTTGTTTCTAATATTTATCATTCATTTAATTTTTTTTTATAAGCAAGAGTAATTCAGAGTGAGCTATTTCAATATAGAATATATACTGGTGCAAGTAATATCTTGAGGATGACTGATTTATAAAACATCATTTTATAAAAAATATGTACATCCCCCGGTGTATTTAAAACTCATAAAATTCAATCTGCATATAAATTTCTACAATCTACATATGAATATATACATTTCATGTCTTTATTAGATAACCAGCATATTTATCTATTTATATAATAACACTATTTCATTTTTATTGAGTCCTATATGTTAGGTAGCTACTGGTCAAAGCACTCATATCATCTTATTTAATCCATTCAATAAACCAATAGTTGGTACTCTATGCAAAAATAGTAATAGATAGTAGCAACAGAAAGGTAGATTTCTGGGACCTCCCTGGTGGCACAGAGGTTAAAAACACCGCTATCAAACTATCAAGCTATCATGCTATCAAGCTATCACCAGCCATTACAGCATGAGTTTGATTCTCTGGCCCACCAGGGAGGTGACCCGCATGGTACAGACCTCTCCTATCTCGTTCACTGCTCCTCTCTGCAGTGTATTTCAGTA